AGACAACCTTCACGGTAAGGTTCCCCATGTACCCGGTCTGTCCACCATCTCTTAGGATATCTAGTAAGGCTGTCATTCCATCTGTTTATTTGATCACACCCCTTTCCTGTTTTCCTTTAGTCTCCATTACCAAATCAAATATAATCACATAAACAAATAAACATGCATTCGATAATGCAATCATGTCTCAAATTCCAAATCAAACAATGTTCAGGTAAGACAGTAATACATGCATTAAACCATAAAATAGGTAAATCAGATATTATCATGCTTTTAGAGTGTAGAATAAATCAACAGAGAATAATATCCGGTTCGGGCTCTATTAGCAATCCGTAATTAATTATGCATATTTATTTAATTTGTACAAAATACCGTATTATTATTTATTTGAACTTCAATTATATGATAGGGAATAGGGTGAGGGGAGTTCCCTGAATTTTTTTTCGGAAACTGAAACACGCTTATAGTACCTAAAAATGTTCCAAATAATCCCAAAATATGTCACAGGGCCCGCTCGGCCAATTTCAAAAATCTGACATGGCAGCTCTGACGTGCTCCGACGACGGCACCGCCGCCCGCGATGACGATCTGCCTTGGATCAGCCGTTTTTGGCTAAATTCGACCAATTTTACATCGATTCCTATGAGCACACACTCTAAAGGGCATCGATGGACCGAAAAAATACGAAAAATCAAAACTCATCGGCGGCGGGGCTCTCCGGAGTGGTAGCTCCTCCGACACACATTGTGTTTGGGTGTTTCACTCCGGTCAACCTGTAGAGAAGAAAAGGGTGATCACAACGGTGGAAAAATTACGCAAAATGGGAATCGGGAAGGGCCTCATCAGAGGCAGTTTATGGAATTCTCTGCGGCAGCGCCGCTGGGCTTCGTCGGTGTTTTTCGGCCAATTGGCCGGTTCTTTCACTTTGATTTAACCATGGTGAGTATAAAATTGAATTTCGTGTAAAAAATTTTTTTTTTACCTTTTTTGGTAATCGGAAAGGGTTCCAGTGCGGCGACGGGTGGCGACGATCGGCTTTCCGGCGGCTGAGTTGTCTTCTCCGGTGAGGGGTTCTGGCGGCTAGGGTCAGGGTTTGGATGTTGATGGGGTTATTTTTACGCATCAGCTTTTGATCTGGACTGTCCATCGCGTTTGATCTGGACCGTTCGATCTCGATTAAATAGGGAATGAATCTGAACCATTCATCGCGATCCAATCTGGGCTGTCCGTGCGCGATTCACTCCGGGCTATCCATGCGCGCGGGAACGTACCTCAGTCGTTCGATCGCGCGTAAGCAGATCGTCCACG